TAAAAATTACACAAATCGGACCGCAAATTTAGGTGCATCTTCGTTGATGATAATTAGCGGGATCGTATAGTAGACACTGTTTATTTACTCGGTAAATTTTATCGTGTACTGTAGTGAGTAGTTCAATACTTACTGAGCACATTGTAGCGCCATAAACTAAGTTTAGTAAAATTAAAATAAAAAGGATAAACAAATGTAAATGTGGGTGTTCTATACGGCCTAGAGCCCGATAAGATCTACGCTTGTAAATTCCTAGTACTTTTGTGGTGTACTGTAGTACTAATGATTAGAAGCTTGCCTCGCTCAATTACAGCTGAGTAGCAAGTTTGATCATCATTGGGTGTTCCTTAAAGCACAACAGATTCACATAATCAATAAAAATAGGAACATAGTAAAAAAAAAAATAATATTGCAAATTCTTAAAAACTTAAAAAATAAATTTAATTGTACAATAAAATAAATTTGTTAAATTTATTTAGCGTAAAAAAAAAATTAATCTCATTTTCTTGACGCGAAAAACTTATTAATACGAAACTTTGCCTCAAAAATACAGTTAACTTTGAATAAAATTCAACATGGTAGGTTGTTGTCATAATTTTTCTTCTCGCGATATTTTATATTTGTCTCTAACTTTGTTTGTTTCGACTTCAATACTTGATGGAAATTGTTTGTACTAAAAACACATACTGTTTAGTTTAACTAACTTTTCATTTGGCATTTTTCTGGAAAATTTGCTTTAAGAACCAAGAAAAAAGGGGTTTATGAAACGTTTTTAAAAATAAGCGTGATCGATCACTTTTGTTTTTACTTTTTTAGATCCAAAAAATCTTTTACGATGATAAGCCTTAGAGTTGCTAAAATAACTACTGAAATACACAAATTAAATACAAAAAGCGGAAATTTCTGTTTCTCGCCCTTTAAGTAAACTTTTAGTAAGTAAAGTTACAGTAAGTAATTAATTAGTAAAAAAAAGTTACATTTTACCCAAGAGTACTCAGTACAGTGGTTAAAACAACAAGGATTTTTTTAATTTTAGTTTTTACAGTACACTTACAAGAACAAATTTATATTTTATACCAGATGTTTACTATTTTGGTCGACAAATGTTACAGGACTGAATTTCTTCAGTTGAAACGGTTTCTTTAACATCTACTTTTGTTTGGTTCTTTCCAGTATCGATAAAAATAAAATCAATTAAAAAAGCTGTACAGTCTTTACACTAAACCAGTTTTTACATTTAATTTAAAAGGAGCTTTTTAAGCATCTTCATGTGTACTATTTGAAAGGGGATCCATCAGGCATCCAGTAAGAAACAAACTCAATGTATGTACTTCCAATGAAAGCGATACCTAAAGTTCAAAAATAAATTGCATTTTAAAAATTAAATTTTTCTCAAGAAGCTTTTATTTTAGTTTTAATTCCAAGCTAAATTTAATATTTTCAATAAGCAAAAAATACTTTGTTGTATTTCAAACCGAATTCTGATTGATTGGAGTTACTTTTTTTATTTTGGAATCGCTAAAATCAGTCATATTGACAAATCTGTCAACACAATAACATTCTTTATTAAAAAAAATAATTCAAAAATTTATTTGAGAAAGATTAACTGATATGAAATTTTAATTAATCTAAACTAAAACAAATATTACTTTTAGTTGAAAATATCGCCAAAAAACACTTTTTTAACACAGAGGTGCATGTTAAGGTGTTGACCAATTTATTGATAGCTTATAATGTTTGGCATTTTTAAGTAAAGAGTACATAGCTGTAAAAATTACTTGACAAATACAATGTGATCACTTTTTTATATAATATTTCCAAATCAATGTGTGGGGGTTTTTTTACTGCAAAAAGACACTCAAATTCTCCATGCTAATTTACAGTCATCTGTTGATGCAAGAAAATCTAAATTTTTAGCCAAAATTTCAAAGTTTCTAAAAGGGATTAAAAAATATAATTTAATAAGCAAAAAATCCTTTGGTCTTCCCTACTAATAACAACATAAAGATTTTGATGATAAAACTTTGTTTTTATTATGCTTTGGACAATTTTCATCATGTATACTCGTTTTATAGTGAATCTTTTGAGGTATCTACATTAATGCCAACAGTAAAATCCAGTATGAATTATAGATTTCAAAAAAAAAAAAATCCTAGTATTACTCGTTTCTAAAAATATCTATTATAGGTTTCCTAAAACAAAAATTTGATATTAATTCTAAGTTTCTAAAACAAAAATATACTTTTAGTCAAAGCAAGCAAGTGTCAAAATCAACTAAAATGGACCAAAATCAAACTTTCTAATAAAACTGTGGTCATCCCTGTCCTATTATATGGTTGCAAGAGCTGGGAAATGAGTTAAGTTGATAAGCTTGTCATTTCTCTATTTCATAAGAACAACTTAAGGATCCTCAAAATTATATGAGAAGACCATGGTGGAACTGCTCCTTAATGTCAAGATATGGCAAAGAAGGTAGATGTTCATCAGCCATATTTTAAGACAAGACCCAAACAAATACTACAATGTGGCACTGGCCTGAGACCCTGAAAGAAAAAATGAAAAGGGAAGATAAAATACAACATGGTAATGGATTATAGAGAGGGAGAGGGAAGCAATGGGCTGGCAATTGTAAGATGAAGTGCAAGCAGCAACTGCAGACAGGGCCAAGTGGAGATGTTCTGTGGAGACCTTAGATAAGTTTCTAAAAAAAAAAAAAAAAATCCAGTGTTAATTATATTCTTTACTTTTTTTTAATTCTGTATTGATTTTAAGGTAAAGAAAATCTGGAATTAATTTTAAGTTTCTTTAAAAAAAATATCATGAGGTAAGGCACAAGATCAACTGCAGACAAGGCAAGAGTAGAGGCCATATATGCTACAAGGCACTGGCAGTTAGCTATATAGATAAAAAAAACAAATCTAGTATTATAGGTTACTAAAAAAACAAGTCCAGTATATTGGATTTCTAAAAAACAAATTCAGTATTATGGATTTCTAAAAAAAAACAAATCCATTATTATGGATTTCTAAAAAAATAAATCCAGTTTTATGGTTTTTAAAAAAAAAAAAATATCTCTGGTATTACAGGTTTCTAAAAAACAAGTCGAGTATTATGAGTTTCTAAAAAGATCCAGTATTATGAATTTCTAAAAAAAAAAAAAAAAAAAATCTAGTTTTAAATGTTTCTAAAAAAAGATCCAGTATTATAGGTTTCTAAAGAAAATCTGCTCATAATTATAGTTTTGTGAAAAATTCTTGTATTACATTTTTGTGAATAAAAAAGATCCTGTATTTTTTGATTTCTTAAAAAAATTCAGCTGAGACAGCTTTTACTCATAATTCCCCACTGTCTGAAAAAATGGAACACATTATTAGTTTAATGCAGGATAGTTAAAATGGTTTCAATACCAAATAGTATTTTATGATATTTTTGTCTGTTAGTGTTAGCTACAGAACACCTATCTTCTTTGCTTGATATCTCCAATATAATATTTTCACATTGCTGGGTGGTCAATCCATCAATCTGAGAAACTTCAGAGAAGCAGCCATCTTTACCTATAAATATTGTTACATGGTACCCTTGTTGAATCCGAACAAAAATTCTTCTAATCTTTAAAACATTGTCACTTCTGTATGATGATCATGCACACAAACTCTAGTTATAAAGATTTCATCAGTAGAATAAATACAACGTGCTAGTAATGTAATGGTTATCAACATGGAAAATGGAATTAGCATGCCGAGTTCAAATCCCAGCCTAGTTTGTTACATTCATTTCATACTAATGGTTTTTGGGAAATACATGAATTCATCTCTTCTCCCACTACCTATGGGTTAAATATTTTAGAAAAGTAGACTGGGCTTTCTAGCCTTGGATGATAGCCAGTCTAGGAATGAATACACTGAATTTAAAACTGGGGAGAAGGTAACAGAAAACCACTTCATTATCTATCCCAAGAACTGTCATGACAATGCACAAAAGGACTCTGTGGAGAGCCATGATCACTTTTGTTATACATTGTGATCTCATGTTTTGAAATTGAACTGGCCTCAAATTCAAATGATAAACAAAAAAGAGTTGTGTTACAAATACATCTGCTTTAATCCAAGTTTGGGAGTTAGTGGCATAAAAACTCAAGGCAACCTGGGAACAGATAAAAAAATTTACGCATTTTTTCATAAAAAATAAACTGGACAAAACTTTGAATAAAGCATTTGAAAATGTTTGATGATATAAATAATACATTTAATTTAAATTTTTTCTTCATTCTTTTTCAATAATTTAGGAGTTTAGTTATCTGAAATTTTGAATTATCCAAACATATTTTTAAAAATCATGTCCAGATTATCAAAGTTAAATAATAGTTTAGCAGACTATTATTTTTAAGGGAAGTGTATCTTAGCTCTGACTTCCAGAGGTTGACATTCGGGGTCAGATGTCAGCCATAATAGGGAAGTCAATTTTGGTTGGCTGAGTAGGAAAAATAGGAGAAAGGTTTCAGCAAGTTGGTTCTTAATCATCAAGCGATATAGACACGTTCTCTCATGTCCAAAATGGCTCCTCGGTAAGACGGGGATGGGGGCCACAACTGGATAGTTAGATAATGTACATGTCAACATGAGTAATAAAAATAGATAAAATTTTTTGTGCTTGAATTTTCATTGCAATCACGAGCTGAGAGAAGATGAGACCAACCCCACCGGTGGGGTATGCAACAATCAAGGAATTACTGTATGTAGTAAGATAAAAGCTGTGGTAATATAAATTTCTATGATATATGAGCCTATAGAAGATCTGAATTTTACATAAAAAATCAAACCAAATTTTTAAACCTTACTATTTTTTTTTTTTTTGCTTTTTGTACATCTATATCTATGAGAGAAATCTTTCTGCTTCATTTATAAATACTATTAAATATTTATTAAATACTATTTCAATATGATGAATTGATTTGCTAAACACAATATCACATGTTTTTTTGTTTTTTTTTCATTTTTTAGGCTGAACGAAAAGCAGTCAACCGATATTATCCTCCTGGTTGGGACCCAAGCAAAGGCTCAATCAATAAATATGTCGGATCCCATCCTCTACGAGAACGGGCTCGAAAGCTCAGCCAGGGGATTCTTGTTATCAGGTATTTGTATTATAAAATTTTCAGGTATTTGTATTATGAAATTATGTATTTGGTTGACCAAAGGTTGAGGAGTGTACACAATTTGTCTAAATGTGGGTGTAACCCAGAGAAAATACTTTTAAGATAAAAATGAATAATAATACAATGAATTTATGTGAATAAAAGATTTTGTTAAAAATATGCTAGAAAATTTTGTGCCAGTCTAATTACTCCCTTCATTGTCTCCTATCAAATAATTCTTAACGACCACTGCTAATAGTGACCTTTCTTTCACTCTCCCAGCCCGCTATTAGAATTTCCCAAGCTAATTTCTTTTTTTATGAACTTACTAATGTTGAGGAGGTATGATAGAATAATGGATAGCGGTTCGTATTGAGGAATCAGAGAGCCAAGTTCAAATTCCAGTTGAATCCATTACTTTCACTTACCTGCTAATACCCCTGGGAAAAACATAAATCCTCCTCTTCTCCCCCCAGCTATGGGTAAAATAACAGGACAAACCAGATTTTGTAGCCTTGGATGGCAACTGGTTTACCACGGGAAAAAATCTGCCTCGTCAGTTATGTATCGAAAGATTCATGGTCGCCTAAGCGTGTATCACGTATGGCACATAACTGACTGACTAATGTTGAAAGCTGTGAAATAAATTGTTTATAGTCCTTAAAAATCTACCAATATAGCAATACGTACAATGTCACGTTATTAAGGATGGAAGAACTTGGGTTTAATGCATTTTTATAGAAAATGAAATAGGCATAAGACAAGGATGCATCTTTTCATTGGATGTATTTAAACTTTACAGTGAGGTGATCCTAAGAAAACTAGAAGTCCTATCAGGATTTATTTTTGGTGGGTGCAACCTTAGCATCATAAGATATGCAGAGGACACTGTGTTGATGGTAGATACAGAAAGAAAATAGCAGGAAATCCGAGACAAGGTAGTAAAAAAAAAAAGAAGGAAGAAAGGACTATCCATCAATTGTCAGAAGACAGAATGTGTGACTGTCGGGCAAGAGGAACGGCCCCAAGATGCAAGCTATGAATGGGAGATGTCAAAATCAAATAAGTACAACAATTTAAATATCTGAGAACTGTATTAACAAAGGACATTATTAATAAAGAAAAGAGTACTGAACTTTTATGTAATAGTGATTTTCCAAGTGTAGCTTAGATATGGCACAAGGCCGAAAGTAGGTGGCACCTAGTGAGGATAGAACTCACTACTTAGTTGTAATTGTTCTAGCCAGACAAGCTTGCTGACCATTACACCACCTCGAGGGGCCCCTGAACTGTTGTGTAATACCAGTCCTCTTATATGGCAGTAAATGATGAAGAAAAGACTTGAAACAACAGAAATTTGGTTCTATAGAAGGATAGTGAAAATACCATGGCAGTCCATATGAGCAAAGACAAAGTTTTAAAGAAAATGGGGGGGAAAACACCACTTACACTTAACATCAAGAAGAGACAGTTGAAATTTCTAGGACACATAATGAGAAAAGAGAGCTTGGAAAATTTGATACTCACAGGGCAGATTGAAGTCAAGAGGGACAGAGGAAAACAATGCATCACCTACCTAGTGAGCTTGAGTAAATGGATAGCAGAACAAGGTTTAGGAGAGATAACAAAAAGACAAAATTTATTAAGAGCTACAAAGAACAGGAAATTGTGGAGAGTCATTATCGCCAACATCATGAAGGGTCACGAAACATAGAGGATGATGTATTAGATGTAATATTATTTGAATATCTTTGTAAATTTATTAATTTTTGACTCGTATTTCTTTCATCTAATTTCTCTTGCTTTATTTACACTAATAGTATTAGATGTAATATTATTTGAATATCTTTGTAAATTTATTAATTTTTGACTCGTATTTCTTTCATCTAATTTCTCTTGCTTTATTTACACTAATAGTATTAGATGTAATATTATTTGAATTTCTTAAATGAAGCATTGTTAATTATTATTAATTTTTAACTAGTATTTCTTTCATCTCTTGCTTTATTTACACTAGTAATATTAGATCTAATTTTATTTGAATATCTTAGGTGAAGCGTCATAAAAATTATTAATTTTTGACTAGTATTCCTTTTGCCTTATTTACAATAGTAGTATTAAATGTAATATTTGAATTTCTGACTTTGAAATTTGTCAATTATTAATTTTTGACTAGTATTTCCTCTTAATGTCAGTTGCTTTTCAACACAATAATTGTTCACTATGCTTGATATTAAAAAATTAATGATAATATCATAGGTAAAATACTAAATGTACAAATTCTCATTGGATGCTTTCAGATTTGAGATGCCCTACAATATTTGGTGCGATGGTTGCAACAGCCACATTGGCATGGGTGTACGCTACAATGCAGAAAAGAAAAAAACAGGCAATTATTATACAACGCCAATCTACACGTTTCGTATGAAGTGCCATTTGTGTGACAACTATTTTGAGATTCAAACAGATCCCCAGGTGAGATCTTTTAATACTAGTTTTGAAGAAATAGATGTTTATGTATTCCTATGCCATTTATTATTGCTACAAGTGTTTGATTTGAAAGATTTAGTCAGTATTATTGAATTACCACCTTCTGAAAATAATCACGGTCCATGTGATTTTTGATAGGCACAGACTGGAGATTGTATTGAACTGTTCATAACTTCCACTTTGTTTCTTTCTTTATCATTTCATGTTCATACCCACTGACTTCATAGCATTATTTATTCTACACTTCTTTTTATGCATGCTTTAAGCAAATTACCCTCATTCCTTTTGTATTCCATTGATGAGATGTAAGTTCCATCTGAGTTGTTTCTTCCTACGAACTACTGCTTTGTGGACATGGCGCCTAAGTGGATGCTTCCCTGATCATTTTAATCTTAACCTGGTTAAGCCTAGAGTAACCATTATGCCCCCATGTATCCCAGTAAACTGTGCCTATGTAGGCTCGAGTGGCTCATGGGCTCTGTAGAGAGTAATCATTATTGTAAAAAATAAACACTCTGGATTTTCAATTAATATTGGGTAAGTTTCCCTTAAATACATTTATAAGCTTAAATAGATTTTCCCTTTTGAGGCACATACTTTTTTGTGTGGTTAATCTTTTTTATCCAAACCCCTAAACAAGCTGAAAACTTCTATGAGCAGTACCAAAGAAATAGCCCCTTATCAACAATACATAATTACTACCTGTTTTTATAGGCATACAGTTGATATCTATAAGTACTCTATACTTGATATTATATACTCTTCTCCCAGAAACACTGTAAATTTTAAACACACACACACACACATATATATATATATATATATATATATATATATATATATAGTTTTAAGGTGTGCTATATTTATGGGATAAAGTGCTCAATATCAGGGATAGAGCATATGTAAATATAGATATAAAAGTGAACAGGCTGTTTCATGCTAGACACAATCATCAGGTGACCTGACGATTACAGCTAGCATGAAACAGCTTATTACCTCTGAGTGTTGACTTTTTATATATATATATATATATATATATATATATATATATATATATATATATATAGTCTTAAGATGTGCTATATCACTTATGAGCTAATACCCTTGAGAAAGGTATTAATCCTCTTCTACTTTATATATTTGAAAATAAATATATATATATATATATATATATATATATATATATATATAAGGACATTAGCTCAAAGTTATCTCTGATCTTGGAGAAATTGTTTAACTGCTGCCTGAAGGAGAAAGCCTTCCTAAGTCTATGGAACATGTTGATGGTCTGTCCTGTTCTCAAGAATACAGGTCAGTGCATATCCCCATTTCATTTATCAGCCTATTAGCCTCCTTAATGCCATCAACAAACTCTTTGAGGCTATCATCAACAAGAAGGTTTTTAATCACTTCAACATGGACAACCAGTTGTGACAAACAGCATGGATTTTTCTCTACTAGGTCCACTGCAGATATCTTAACTATCATTTTCACAGTATCAGTGAGGCATTAGACAATAAATAAATCACGAGATATATCAAAGGCATTTGACAAGTTATACCATAGAGAGTTTTTACACAAGCTCTCCAGCTATGGAATCACTGGAGGATTTTTCTCAGTTATTACGTCCTTTGTAATTGGTAGGACCATTAAGGTCATTGTTAATGTCCAGTCTTCTGAGACCCATGAAATCAATGCAGGCTCACTTCTCAGTCTTAACCTCTTCCTGTTTATATTAATGATCTGCCTAAGAGCATATTCTGATCTTTAGTGAATATCTATGCAGATGATACAACGGTATATGGGTGCACCTCCAAAAATCTAGACGACCGGATCCTAGTAGCTATATCCCTTCTCTGACCTAGCTCTAACAACTCAATTAGGGAAATATGGCTGGAAAGACCAAACTAGTAACATTCAATCATTACCAAGCAGATACTGAATTTTTTGCCTATCACAATGAACGTGTTCTCACAAGGAGGCCTCTTGCCTTGAACACTTGTTGTGCCTTAAGCTTACTCCAGACCTCAAGTGCAATCTATTTATAATATGTCACTAAAGATGCTGGAAAAATGGCTGGTTCCAAGTACCACTCCAGTATGTACCTGACTCCTGCTTATGCTCTTCATTTACAAGAGTAGGATCAGACCAGGCTGGAGTTGCCCAGATTTCACTTTCTAGTCTTGATAGAGTTCAAAAGCATCTAAGTGGCATTGAGGGTGAGCAATTACATTCCACCCTACAACCCCTTTCTCACAGGTTAAAAATTGCAAGCCTCTCACTACTCTTGTTCTGACAAGCTACATTGCTTAGTTCCACCAATTCTAATCTTCACAGCTAGGTCTCGGACCACATAAAAAGAATCAAACTATCCTCATTCTCTTTGTATTCGGTACTTGAACAGCCTTTTCTTCACAAACCAATTCTTTGTGGAACCAACTTCCAAGAAGATGCTTCCTGTGATCACTACAATCTTAACTTCTTCAAATCTAGGCATAACATTTATCTTTCCCACATATCCTCATAAATTGGGGTTCTTTTACCACACAAGCAACAGCCTCCTTCAGTAACCCTCTATCTTAAGTGGTTCTTGGGTCTTGTATAGAGTGGACATTAGTAAGAAAAATAAAATGCACATTCCGCCTTCTATTGTAAGAAAACATAATTTATTGACTTGAGTCTCCAAACCAAATTGCATATTATTAAAATCCGTGAAAAAATGTTTTCTTTGAGATAATTTCTTGTTTGTCTTTGTTGTTTGCTTTTTCTTTACAGAATCATGATTATGTCATTCTTAATGGAGCCCGACGCAAGGAACAGAGATGGGATCCCAAAGAAAATGAACAGATCGTTCCAGAAGGTATACCCTATTTACTTACCAACCTTTCAATCATACACACACACACACACACACACATATATATATATATGTATATTTAAATGCTCGCATTGAGGAATCAGAGAGCCAAGTTTGAATTCTAGTCAAATCCATTTCATTCACTTATGAGCAAATACCCTTGTGAAAGTTATGGATCCTCTTCTTCTCCCTCCAGCTTTGGGTAAATAGCAGGGCAGACTGGTTTGTATAGCCTTGGATGGCAACTGGTCTAGAAGAAGAATAACTCTGAATTCAGAGGGTTGTTTGGGGTCTTTGTTGCACATAGTGCACCAGGTCCCTGTATTCGGCCCTTCAAAAAGTGTGGTTGGTTCTGCACAAAACCTTCACCACTATAATCAAATCATATGTGCTGGTGTCTGGACTGTTGGTTCCTAGGAACTGAACTGCTTGACCCTCATATGTCAAATACAATGGGAGAGTCCACCATTTATATACATATTTTAATCAATTCACTTCTAAGCAAGGCGATATCACTAAGACACAAGGGGGTGGCTACTGGGAGTGAAAGAGAATGAAAAGACTTTAGAAGGAAATTGGAAACCAATTCTTAAACAGGAAACACGGGATAAACCTCTATTCCTGTTCAGAATCCTGGGGAGGAGTGTGGACAGCACAATAGATGAACCTATTGAGGAGAAAAAATAATTTCAAAGCTTATGTAAAGACATTAGAAGCATAGAATTGAAATAGACTTTAGGAGAAACTGGAAAACACAATCCTATTATGAAATAAAATATCTGCAATGTAGGAAAAGTTATATTGGTGAAACATCTAGAAATCTAAAAGCCTGCTTCTGTGAACATAAGAGAGACCTACATTGAGACATCCTTTAAGCTCGCTTGTATACACAGGAACAAAACTGGCAATAACTTTGATTTTATAATTGCCACCCTAATTAAAAAAGGACATAATTCTTTATGCCAGAAATGCTTTGAGGGAGTTCTGATAGATATTTTACCATCTATAAACACACATCAAGCACACTTTATTATATCACCAACTTTTATAAAATCCATACTTAAAGAATCTTAGATATGTCTAACTACTACTACTACTACAACCTGTAATAATTTCAGATTTCTATCTGAGAGCATTAAGAATCTGCAGTCCCCAGTATTTACCTAAAGAAGAAACATACATAGAAAACATATTCAAAAACCTACAATACCTCTATCATTTCATCCACAACACAAGAAGAAAAGCATACAAAATATACAACTGAAACAAAAATAATAATATAAGCCAAAATAATTATATATATATATATATATATATATATATATATATATATATAAAATTATTTTGGCTTATATTATTATTTTTTACATTTAATCATACCATGAGCAGATATGAATGTACGTGAAAGATTCATAGATGATTGAAGTTTAAAAGCAGTAAATTCGACCTTGCTAACTGAACGATCCTCTGTGGCTGAATTGGTTAAAAGGCACATCAGGCTATATGACGGTTCCGTATAGGATACAGGTTCGAATCCTATCAGAGGACGAATATTCTCTATGAAAATTTCTCGGACATTCAGGCTGGTAAATGTTGTTTAATACTGTTTATTATAAACAGAGCATTTACTTAAATATTTGTATCTATAAAAAGAATGTATAAACATAAAATATCTTATATATAAAAGAAATAACATTACCCCCAAAAAATACTGAGCATAAGGAATTTTTGACAATGTTTAAACTTTGTGCATACAAAAAAATGGTGTGTCAAAATGACAGTTATTCCCTTGACACTGCTATTACGGTTTACACTTTGGACCCCACTTGGCAATGTTTATAGTAATGATATTATTTATCTTTTATAAAGATTTATTATTTACCATTTTATAACGAAACAATTTTGAAAAGAAATCTTTTTATTCAAAAATTATAAAAAAAATATTACAAAGTATATCCATTCACTGAATAGGGAGAAACACACTGAAAATATTGAGTATTTGTGATTTTGCCTAAAATCTAAAATTAAAAGAATGTTTGGTTCAGAGTAAGAAATATTCTCAACCTATTTTAGTGAATTTATGCTGCAAGAGCAAAGGAAAGAAAACCTTTGAAAATGCATTTTTTCAAAATTTATTGTTACAGCTACTCATTATGTTTATTTAAATTTTCTTGTTCACAGACATTATTATAAATTTATGAATAAAAAAATTTACTCTCATATTTATTTCTTTGTAAAATGATAAATATTTCATTATAGTTGGTTTATATATTTTATAATCTTGTAAATATTAAATTATTCTTTTAAATAAGCAAACTAATAAACAAATAGTATTTAATATGTTTATCAATTCTCAAAAAGAAATAAAATGTATAAATCCATTTCCATATATTTGGGTTTTAATCATTGCTTTTAAAAACAACAAACATTGCCAGGTGAGTCAAAAGTGTATACAGTAATAGCGGTGTCAAGGAAATAAATGTCCTTTTGACATAATGCTCTTTTGCAGGTACGAAGGTTAAACTTTGCCAAATTTTCTTTATAGATAATAACTTCATGATTATATCCAAGTCATTATATACACTCCAGCCATCTTGCTGGTATTTTTAATAATAACTGCCTGACATATTTTTGTAGAAGAAATACAATAATGACTGGTAAAAGAAAACCCAAAATGAAACTTAGAATAATGTCATCAACTTCTTGTTTTTATGTTTTCAAAACTTGTATTTACTTAAATCAGAGATTAAATTGAAACCAATTATTGCTTAAATTTTTTAAATATAATGGTGTCAAGGGTATAATCATCTTTTTGACACACTACTTTTTGCAGCCACAAAGGTTTTTTTTAAAACAACTTATCTGATTGAATATATCTTTTTATGGTTTTCATTTTTCAGACAAAACGACTCACAAAAAGCTGTTCACAGATCCAATGTATCAATTGGAACATGGTTCTGATGATAAGGAGAAGAAGAAAGCAGCCATCCCCACACTCAGTGAATTGGAAGAGAAAAATGAGGTCTTCAAAGATGATTACATACTTAATAGTATAGCCCGGAATAAATTCAGGGTATTTGTCTTTTATTGCTATTACCATAGCCTCAGTTTTTCTTTGAAGCCTTCTGGCTAGGTTATATACATTAAAGATTTAAACAACTTTCTTTGGAAATGTCAGATATGTGGGTAGTGTAATGGTTACTAACTCGGAAAGAGAAATCAGCAATTGAAATTTGAAATCCACCCAAGTTCATTACATACACTTTTGTACAAATACCCTTGGCAAAGGTATGAATCCATCTCTTCTTTCCCCAGCTATGGCTTAAATAGCAGGTCTGACTAGGCTCTTTTCCCCTGAAGTGGCAACTAGTCTAAGAGAAGGAAAACTCTTAATTCAAAGTCAGCCAGAAGAGGGGTGGGCTTTGTTGGGCAATCTGCCCTAAACTCTGGAGTAGCAACTCTGAGGAATCGGAGATCAGAGTTTGAATTCCAGTCAGGTATGTTACATTCACTTATGTGCAAATATCCTTAGGAAAGTTATGAATCCATCTCTCTCCCGACCCTAGCTATGGGTAAATAGTAGGACAGACTGGTTCCTTTAGCCTTGGATGGTAACCAGTCTAGGAGAATGACAACACTGAATTCAAAACCTCCAACTATGGGTTAAGCCTCACCAACCCGCAATTGTCATGCATGGTAAGTATGGCTACATCCCTGCAAATATGGTCTGTCAAGGAGGGGTTCCTCCAACAGGAGTGAGAAGGCCCTTTTCTTTGATTTGGATTTGGATCTGCCCTAGACTCTACTACTGCTCTTGCTGTGGTATATGTGGTGTCCTTATGATTCTAACGGATTATGGAACTTATGATGTAGCAATTTGGAGAACGTCAGCTTTTTTCTCTAGAATGAGAAAAAATCTTTTTAAGCTTAAGGCCACAAGTGTGGAGTTCTCAGTGAGAATGCAACTCCATATATGATCTGCAAAACTATCTTACCATCTATAGTTTTCTTACTGACTCTGCACTTGAATGATGTCTGTCCATAATGCTGTAAAATTAGCAGATGATTCTGATAAATCCTTAGGTTTTTGGTTCCTTCAAATGAGGAAAATTTCTTTGAATTGCCATGGACTGAAGTAGTTTTCCACTGCCTTTTCCTAGACATCTGCCCCCCCCTTAACTCCCAATCTACTTTGTACACTTATGATCGGTTACAGTCTTATAGTCAATGGCACAAAATACCAAGTGAGGTGCAACATGTTCTGGACATAGGTGTTTTCACCTGTCACTAGCAACCAGATGCAGTCATCTAGTGGTTTATCATCTAGAAGTCACGGTGGAGTAATGGATAATGACTCGGATTGAGGAGAGCCGAGTTTGAATTCCAGTCGAATCCACATTCACTTACATGTTAATACCCTTGGGAAACGTATGAATCCTCTTCTTTTCCACCCCATACTATGGGTAAATAGCAGGACAGACTGGGTTCTATAGCCTTGGATAGCAACTGGTCTACCACAGAAAAAAATGGCAAACTACTGTGGGGAAAAAATCTGCCTCGTCAAACATGTATCAAAAGATACATGATCCCCTAAGTGTGTATCATGCGTGGCATATAACTGACTGACTGACCCATTAGAATGTGATTATAAAAGAAGATCCCTGGCAACCTTCCCAAAAGACAGAAAAATAAACACTGTTGTAAAAAATAAAACATTGGCAGTTTAATACTATAGGCTATTAAAGGTTACAATCACTTTTGGTTGATTTCTACTAAGATCTTGAGATATTGAGAATTGTTAACTGCAAGATGAGACGTTTGAATCTGTGTTGGAGATTCTTTCAGTTTGAGGAGAGAAAAACCGAAAGACGGTGTTCTCTCTTGAAACAGCAAACAATTCTCTGACACAAACTAAGTGACTCTGGGCTCTGACATTTGTCCAAGGGAATAACATTGATGGACATTATTTTCTCACAAAGACCTTCCTGTTAGGAACACACATGGCTACATTTAGTATTGACCAGATACGGCCCCTTCAAAATTACCTTTGACCAGATTCTGGGCTTAGACATTTTGGTAAAAACCAGTGTAATTGGAGCAATAGTTCACTAAATAAATGTTTCCAAGCCAAGCCATTTTTGTGACACTGATTTCAGATTGGTGTCAGGAAAACAATTAGATATTAATTATGGACAGGTTTTTTTCTATGAAGAAATATAATGGAAATGTTACTTTGATATTGATGTCATGAATACAAGAAAATGATGAAAAGGTGAAATAACAAAAATATTTGGCACATTCACACATAAACAAACAGAAGATATTAACCTAACACCAATAACTAGCATATAGATTAATTTTTAGCAGTATAAAAATAACTAAATTGGTAAAATCAGTATTCAATTGGTGAAACCTCCAGATGAGCGAACAGAATGATTACAAAACAGTCTATTTATGAAAATCTTGAGTTAAGATCAATCAGCTAAGTAACAAATTTATTTGAATTAATCCTATATATGTGTGAAAATGAGACAATGTGGAAAAGTTATAAACAATGTGTTTCACTGAATATGTTGTTTTCTGCTTCTTCAAGTTAGAATAAGACAACTCTTTGTGTAAGGAAAATGCATTGAGATCTTTGAGGATAAAAAGGGTTATAAATTAAATTACTTTATCAGTCTGATAACCAGAAACCAGGAAGAAAATCTCTGTCTGCCTATGTGTTTACTAATTCAGTATACCAAAGGTTTAAAATGAATTTTTATAAATGAAAAGCTTTCTCAAAGCATTCATTTTAGCTTTAATTGTAAGCTAAAGTATTAAATTTACTATTTCCAGTCAACAAAAATACTCTGGTGTATTTGAAACAGAAATTATATTGATTGGAACATGTATTTTTTTTTTTTTTTTTTTTTTGTAAAATAGTTGATTAGTGCCCTTTTTTTTAGATATATTTCATTGCAACGTAATTCTCTGTATTAAAAAATCTTCCAAAAATAAAATATGCTTTTCTGAAACTTTACTTGAGGAATATTAGCTGATTTAAAGTATAATTAATCTGATTTGAAAAAAATATTATTTACTTTAAGTTGAAAATAACAGAAACGAATTTTTAAAACAAACAGTAGCAGTGATTTATGTACTTTTTATCACCTGTCAATCACTGACAAGCACTCATAAGGTGTTGACAGTTCTATTGTTGTTCTATGAAGACTTTATCTGTTAAAACATAATTTAAGAAAATGATGGATGAACGCTCTTTTTATATAATTTTTAAGTACTCAAAAATCTTTAAAATGTTGGAAATATTTTCCATAATCTAATTTTAGGAATGTTGACTTTAAATTTACTATCATAATCGATCTTATTTTCTGATAATGTTGTGTATGGTCACCCATACTTTCAAAAAAGGCATGTTTATATACATGAAAAAAAATTTTAAATTATTTTAAAAATCATAGTTTGTGCTGATTGTGTTAAGCTTTTCAATTTTTGTTTAGTAAATAGTCTTCACTTAATATCTTAATAACCTAACAAAGACAAAGTTTGAAGAATTTTTAAAAGATTTTTGAAATTTTATAAATTATATTAATAATATAAATAATATAAATATTAATAAATAAATATAAATAATATTAATAAAAATGAAAACAATTCTTGTAAAAATTCATTATTCATCAAAACAATTATTTTTCTTCAGCTATAATGTCCTTAGTAAATATTATATATAAAAGCTTATCTAATTAAATAATTAGATAGTTTTATTGTAGTTTTATTTTACTATTCAGAGCAGATTTTGGGGAAATCAGTAACTGTTTGAAAAAAATAGATGATTTACATTCTCCAAGGAGTCCAGTGTTTAACTAATAAAAAGTTTGGAGGATGGAATTTAATTTCTAGAAATTTCTAGAAATTAAGTGGGGGTAACAAATATAAAAAGAAATTTTTTCCAAGATTTTCTAAAAATAATTTTAAAAATAAATTCATTTATTTGTGAAAGTTTCATTAAATTCTGACAATTATTTGATTTCTAAATCAGTGTGTTATCTTACTGGAAAAAAAAGGCTCTAAAATTTCCATAGCCAGCTCTGTTACACTCTTGACACTTAAAAAAAAAAAAAACTTTTAACCAAAATTTAAAACTTGTTAGGAGTAAAAAAAAAAAAAATGTTAAAAAATAATTAAAAAATACTTTGATCTTTCTTCTTAATAATGACATAAGCATTGTGATGATAAAACTTTGTTTTTATTAAATTTGGTGACTTTTTCACAATATTACTTTTCTATATCTATGTATATAAAAAAGAGCTATTGGTGTTTGTTGAATTTTAAAGCAGTTCACTGAAACCAGAAAGTTTTATAAATATATATGTATACACGCACACTCAGTTGTATGGATATGAGTTTGTGACCCCAGGTTTCATGCTTTTTGATCATCAGACAAGTACTGCACATATAAAATTATATATAATATATATATATATATATATATATATATATATATATATATATATATATTTTTTTTTTTTTTTTTTTTTTTTTGCTATACCAAAATTGTTAATTTGTAGTGTGTGCTGTTTATCCGTGATATTATGAGGTACATTAGAGTGCCTAGTTTACTTACTTTATAAGAGCTGGATCAGCAATTGACTATTTATATTTCTCCTCCTTTTCTTTTATGTGTGCACTTTTCATTGATGTAAGGTTGATTTTGTGTGTGTACTTGTTCATGTGCACATATGTAATGTCATGGTTATTTCCCCTTATTGACATTTTTTTGTTTTTGTTTTTTGTCTTTTTTATACTCTCTCCCTTGTTTATTGAAAAATGATATAATTTTCTATGTCTTTTCTGTTTGTGCACACAGGATGAGAAAAAATCCCAGAAAGCCATTGCTGAAGCAGATCTTGATGTATTACAGCGAGCCTCTTTGAATATTTCTTTAGTTAAAGAACAAGAAGAAGATATTAAACTTGCTGGATTGCTTAAATATGGAACGCAGGAATGTAAGTCATTTTTTTTTTCTTTATTTTTCCTTTTTTGATTAGAGATTTGAAAAATTTACTTCTGAACTTCAAACGGCCTTGTGTATGAAACAATTTTGAAGGGCGTCTGGAGTAATTTGAGATGTGATGTTAAGCCAAAATTGAAACAAAATGATTGCATCAAGAATATACTGAAGAAGACCAACATAATGTAAAATGACTGTGAAAACCTAATTCTACCTCCTACGGCACAGACATCATTATTATTATTATTATTATTATTATTATACTATTTATAATATATATTATTTATAATAATAAAATGTTTTAGGTTTTGGTTAATGCAAGTTAATAGTTATAATTATTGACAATGTTTTACATATATTTATAATTCAAAATGGCCGCTCTTTGCTTTCATCATAACTCTTAATCCTTTCTCAACCGAAGTGAATAATTTCTTCACCAACACCTCTTCGCTCAGATTGTACTACGATGTCAGAAGAGCTTCTTTCAGGTCTCACGCATATGAATCATCGCTATCCTTTATGGGTCATATTGCTTGATGAAGGTCAAAATGACTTCATTGAATTCATGCAAATGTCTCTTGCAACAGTGTGTGGCCATGTGTGCAGAAGCTTCATCTTGAGCGAAGACATAGCAGTTTCCAAATGTCAACCAGGAGAACACATCTTCACTCCAACATTTGCTGGTAAACTCTACCATTTACTTTCACTTGGCTTACAGCCTTATCACATTGAAACACCTGTTCTCATATGATCACTGAAGTTAACGAACATCAAGCCTAGATGGGTGATCACTTGGGAATACCAGATACTGTAAGCTTAGATATGCAGATGCTGTAAGGGATAATGGCTCAGAATTGTTAATTGGAGATCCAAGTTCCAATTCTCAGTTGGATTATTTATATTTGCTTAGGAAAGGTATGAATATACCTCTTCTCCTCCTACCTATGGGTTAATTAGTATGACTTGTATCACTAAATCATTATTATCTCAAAAAAAAGAAAAATTCTAACAATCTAAAAATATTTTCTGGCTTTAAATAACCTGCAAAGAGTTGATAAGGCATAGAAAAAAAATCAATCACTCAGTCGGTCAAATGCTGATTAGCTACACAGGCATGTCTTTTAGATTTATTTACATTCTCTGGAATATAAATGTATAGAAATTACCTTGGCCACAAAGTGAAGTATTAGTTTATATATTGATTGTAATATAGAATTGATCCCCCACTTTATATCCACATTATAATTTCTTGTATTTTTTTTTATCAAATTCTGATCAGGTATGAATCTTTTCTCCTTCCAGCTATGGATTAATTAGTAAGACTTGTATCACTAAACCATTATTATCTCCACCACCCCAAGTTAAAATCTAAAAATATTTTCTGGCTTTAAATAACCTGCAAAGGGTTGATAAGGTGTAGAAAACAACTCATTCAATCAATCACTTTCACTCCTTCAATGTGTGACTTCGAACCATCAGAAACAACAGCAACCCAAACCATGATACCAGTTGGCTTTTGTTACTTGAAATGTGTTCTGAAACCTTTAAGAATGTTTCTTGCTGAAGTTTCATAAACCACAGTTGCCACAGTAAAAACCAAACAAAGACTTTGTCTGCAGCATATTACATCAACTCCAACATTATCTTTCCACTGCCAAGCCATTTTTGTTGTCGTCATTGAATCTTGTATGGTTTTAGCCCTGAATCCTCTTCCTCAATCCTCCTTAGCAATCTATCTGAAATATCCAGCACTTTTGACATCTTCCACATACTTTTTGGTGGATCTCTCTTCACCCTTTTCTTGACAGCTTCAGTGACTCTCTCAGTACAAACTGAACTGTTTCTTCCTTGAATTAGATTTGGTATAGTAGTTTGCTCTTCTTAAGGCTTTATGGCCTTATCACATTGAAACATCAGTTCCGTATGATTACAGAAGTTAAGCAATGTCAAGCCGGTCATTACCTAGATGGGTGACTGCTTGGAAGTGTGTGGTGTATTGGATAATGGCTTAATCAGAGAACAGAGTTCTAATTCCAGTTGGGTTCATTATATTCACTTACGTGAAAATACCCTTAGGAAGGGTATGAATTCACCTCTTCTCCTCCCAGCTATGGGCTCATTAGTAAGAATTGTATCACTAAATCATTATCTCCCTCCCCCAAAATTCATACAATCTAAAAATATTTTCTGGCTTTAAATAACCTGCAAAAGATTGATAAGCTGTAGAAAAGAATCAATTAATCATCAAAACAATTAATCATTTTGTTGCCACTTAATCAATCCAGTTGAAACTTTTTCCGCACATTCAGTATAGCTATCGCCTCCCAGTTCTTTGAAGAAACTATGTTTAAATAATGGGTAAATATTTATGCTGCACCTGGTAGACCATTCATCCCAGAGGAAAGCAGTGCGCAATGATAAAACAGACTTTGAACAGAACCATGTTGCATATGAAAAACTCAAGAGATATTTGTAAAGCTCTTGACATTAATTTCCTGGAAAAAGTTGTCAATTTTAAATCCAAAATGTAAGGGAGAATAATAAGAAAGAAAGATAGGGAATTTAGAGGAGGCAATAAAGCACTTTTTAGTGAAATTAAAATCCTCATCAGTTTTAACTTTTTCAATTCTAAATCTTTTCATTTGTGCCCTCCTTACATCTTAAAATAATGATCTGCATTCATATTCATGATTGTTATTGTAATATTTTGCAAAAGTCGTTAAGCCCAAATATTTAACAATACAATAGATTTTCCACAGGTATTTTCTCATCATTAAACCTACAGTAACCTTATTTATTCATCTTATTTGCTTGTCCCTTCCTTTGTTAGTTTGCACAACCGTTACTTCCTGCCAATACATCATAAATAATGAACTATTCCATTTTGATTTTGTAGAAAGAGGGGGAAAGACACTACTTGATTTCAGTGAGAAAATGAAAGAAAGGAAGCTAGAAGTGGAGAGATAGAATCAGATAAAGCCAATAACAGATACTACACTCTGATCTTAGCTAAAAGCTGAGAACTGTTGGCAACCACTAAAGACACCATTTTTCAGAAGCACAGTACCAAACAATGGAAACTGAGTAAGGCAATCGCCAAAAATCCAATTACCATAAATAACATCGTCTGCTGAATTATTTATAATAATTATTAAGAGAAATGTTTATAAAACAGAGATTTGGCAAGAAAGATTGCTTAGAAAAAGAAAAGACATACGCTACTTGGTTTCAGTGAGATAATGAAAGAAACAAAGAAAGAAAAACAGAAGGGAAGATAGAAGTGTTCAATGGCTGTTTTGGTGAAATGGAAAAGGATTGTCAATTTCAAATCTTTTCATTTGTGACCATTTCTTAAAATAATGACCAACATTCCCATTAAGTTTGTTATTGCAATATTTTGCTAAAGTTATTTAACAATGCAATAGGGGAATTTCTGTGGATGTTTTATTGTCATAGAACTCACCATGAGCTAATTCAATCATTAACTGAAAAGTTAAGTTTGATTCATCAGAAAATTCAAATAGGAAAACTGTGAAATTTGCATGGGTACAATCAATATGATAAATGATTTTTGACATTACTAACCTTTCTCTTCCATAATTCTTCGATGCGACATGTCCCTTCAGGACGTTAGCAATCATGGCCCTCCACAATTTCCTGTCTTTTGTAGCTCTTAGTAAATTTTGTCTTTTTGCTCTATCTCCTAATCTCTGTTCTGCCAAACTTTTACACAAGCTTGTTAAGTAGGTTATGTGTTGTTTTACCTCTTGCCTTTAATATGTCCTGTGAATGTCAAGTTTTCTAAGCCATCTTTTCTCATTATGTGCCCAAAAAATTTCCATTGTCTCTTTCTGATGTTAAGTATAAGTATGCTTTTTGTTTTCATTTTTTTGTTGCTCACATGTTCAGTCAATGGAAATCTTAGCATCCTTCTGTAGAACCACATTTCTATTGCCTTGAGTCTCTTCTTCACCTGTGAGGAGATTTAGTATTTATTGCCATTAGTAGATATGTTCACCTATTCCTCAGTTCACACTTCTTCCCCATGTTTTGAACAGGAGTAAAGGTTTATCCCTTGTTTGGTGTTTAGGATTGGGTTTCTGGTTCCTTCTCCTAAAGTCTTCTCATTTTCTTTCATCTCCAGTAACCACTTGCATCTTAGTGGCATTATTCCCTTGTTTGGGGTAAAATTTAAAATATATATATATATATATATGGTATAAAATGACAATTGGAAAAAAATCTTAGATTTTGCCGACGCGTTTCGTCTTCCGACCTTTTCAAGGCAAAAATGAAATCAAAATGTTTTTGTTATTATTGTTACATTAAAAAATCTAAATTTAAAAAGATAGACACTTCTGTCTAAGCCTTTTTTTCTGGTTATAGTAAGGGATTTTTTTTTTTCCATGTCGACAATATAGTTAAATTCTCAGATCAATTCTGTGGACATTTTGGTATAAAATGACAATTGGAAAAAATCTTAGATTTTGCCAGCGCATTTCATCTTCTGACTTTTTCAAGGCAAAAATGAAATCAAAATGTTTTTGTTGTTATTATTACATTAAAAAATCCAAATTTAAAAAGATAGATGCTTCTGTCTAAACCTATAACAACAAAAACATTTCGATTTCATTTTTGCCTTGAAAAAGTCAGAAGACGAAACGCGTCGGCAAAATCTAAGATTTTTTTTTCCAATTGTCATTTTATACCAATCTGTCTTGTCCACAGAATTGATCTGGGAATTTAACTATATATATATATATATATATATATATAAAAGAGGACCGATATTGCATAACAGTTCAGTAATCTTTTGTTTGTTTCTAACAAGATTTACCTGTGTTTTAATACTTTGCTTAGCTTTTGGAAGGCAACTTTCACTATACAAGTACCTTCAGATTTTGGTGTCACATTTTCTCATCCTCTGTTAAAACACTCCCTAGATATTTAAATTTTTGTAAATTTTTGTATCTCCGATTTGTAATTTGCATGTTGGCCTCCTTTTTTGCTGGCAACCATACATTGTTTTCTTACAATTGATATTTAGTCCTTTCTTCTTGCTTTAAAAATAGATTTATACCAAATTTTATAATTACCTGATTTTCTCGTTTCCTGATACTTTGCTTAGCTTTTGGAAGGCTTCTTTCTCTACCTCAATGTGCCTTCGGATTTCAATGTTGCATTTTCCATCCTCTGTTGAAACACTTCCTAGATATTTACATTTTTGTACTTGCTTGATTTTGTTGTCTCCAGCTTTTAATTCGCATGTTGGGCTCTTCTTTTGTGCTGGCAACCTTACATTCTGTTTTTTTACTTCTCTCTTTAAAAACAAACTTATACCAAATTTTGGAATTACCTGATGCATAACGTTTATTTTCCTATGCAGGTTATGAACAAAAGCAAAAGGAACGGCGACAACAGATTGCCATTCGCCCATTTTTTTCACCATCCACAGAAAGCAGACCCACAACACAGTCGCCAAAACAGCAGGCGGTCAAGAGGCATATCACGGATGCCATTCTGAACAAGAAGAAGAATAACCCTTTTGACGTTCTGCTATCACCAAATGGGAACATCTCTAATGGCATCTGCAAACTGTCAACATCCAACCCAACATCACCAACGGTTTCAATGAAAGAAAAGCATGCTTCACAGACATCTGCAACTGAAGATGCAGATCAAAACAAAACAAAGAAAATGAAAGTAGCTTCTTCAACTACAGATCATCTGTTGTCTGAAGTAGCCGAGGAGAATACCGCCAAAATAAAAACTGTTTCTCCTCCTGGGGTCTCAGGGGGTCTGGCTAGTCTTATGACCTCATATTCTGATAGCAGTGACAGTGAAGATACTGTTCCATTGGCAGAATCCTGACCTTCTCCAAGAAGAGATTAGTTTGATTTTAAGCATTCTGTGATTATTACTTGCTGTGATTTAATCAGGAACATGTCCTTATTCTCACAAGTGCATGAACCATAAAGAGTTAGGGGATCTTCAGACACTTCTACATGGAGGTGCTGAAAAGTTCTTGATCTGACTGAAAAGACATCCCAAGACACCTCCAAATCCCAGAGTAATCTTTGCTCATTTGTTATAATTTTGGGTAATGGATTGAGCTGAGAACTTTTCAGCATCACCTCATACACTTTCTTCTTTAACAATCACTTCCCCACACTCTAACCCCCCCCCGTTTTTTTTTTTTTTTTTTTTATGTGGACAAGGGTACAGATTTATAAAGGCAATTTTTAAAGAAAATCTTGTTTGGTTATTTAATTATGTAAACCAACGGAAAAACATTTTGTGTCATATGTTCATATAGTTATTGAGTTCAAATCCTTGGAAAAATATTTTACAACTTCTGTGTACTGCAGGGATTTGTATACTTTTAAAATCCACCATTTCCTTGACTGTACTAAATCCTCTATTAGTAAAGTATGGCATTGTCACAGGATTAGTACCATGGAGTTTTCAAATATCCCGTCTAAAATATTATAGATACTATATATACTCAAGTTTTTATGTTTAGTTTTTTTTATGCAAAAAATAAGGTGGGGGTCACACTCAAGATAGATAATTTTTTTTAAGTTAAAAATCATGCATTTTCATTGGCTGGTTGAACTATTCATGTAAATTTTTTTCATGTATTTTCAGTGGTTGTAACCTTCCTGGTCGGCCTACATTTTCACAATACATATGGCTAACTTTAATGGTACACTTTATATCAGAAACTTTATGGTAAGTTTGGGCACTTCGAGGCGGTGTAGTGGTTAGCAAGCTTGTCTCACTAGAACAATTACAACTGAGTAGTGAGTTCGATCCTCACTGGGTGCCCCCTACTTTCGGCCTTGTGGCACATCTAAGCTAAGCTTGGAAAATCATTACTTTATGGTAAGTGGTTTTTTTCACCATTTTGGCATAGCTTTGTGCAAAAAAAAAATGAAGACAATTTATTTGCTATAAAGTATGTCAAGGACGATGCCCAGTACTGCAATATTTGACTAGGGTAGGCCTAGTAGTATTGCTCAGAAGCTGGGATCACATTATACATGCGCTATAAAATTCAGGAGTCACTCTATACATGAAGTACTTTATTTTAGTTCTATTACCACTTAGTGGTCTAAGGTCTTCTTGGTTCTTGCACAAGTACAACCTCAATAGTGTAAACATGCCATGCTAGTTTACATTTTGATTTTTGATCTCGTCAGTGTGCACTGAAAGCTAGGAAGGTAATACGATGAAAGACAAAATCAAGAAATAAGAATATGAAACCAGTTTTCCATATTATATGTAGATGTTTTATTCGGGGCTTCATCTGGGTGGGTTGGTAAGTGATACTTGGGACACCTATGTCAGCTCTTCCTTCTACCAATCCGTATATCCTGACTTCTGGATGGCAATACAAATATACAACAGAGGAACCACACAATGGACAAGTTTGTTTCCACCAAGGGCAGACCAGAACTGATTAAATGACATATGATTGTTAATCTAGACAAATGCCTGTATATATCGTATTTCAGATTTTGTTGTCACTTCATCTCCAAAACACCCTCATTCATTCCTTTAATTGCTCATTTCTCTTTAATCAAAGTGGATTCCACTTAGACTAAGAAAGGGTCTGCTGCATGCTCACAAGGTAACAAGATGAAAGACAAACACCATGTTGAGAAATAAGAACACAAACCCTGTTTCCCATATTATATGTAGGTGTCTTATTCAGGGCTTCACCTGTTCGTCCAGAAGAGTAGATAGGTGGTACTTTGAACAACTTCTGCTAAGTAAGTTCTTTCCCCTACCAAATCCTTGCCCACCAACACATTCCAACATGTGGCTGGCAATACAAATGGATGGCATTTGAACCATGTGATTGACAAGTCCATCTACTACAAAGGGCAGACCAGCACTGACTCCGATCCAAAGCATGATTGTTAATATAAACCAGCACCTGGATACACCCTATTTCCGATTTTGTTGCCACTTGATCTTCCAAAAACCCTTATCAACTTCTTTGCTTCCCTGTTTCTCTTTAGTCAAAGTGGATGCCACTTAGAAGACAAAAATTGAAAAGGAACCATCCACTGGTCTATCAAACAGAAACACTTGAGATCAAGATAAAACTACCTCTTCTCTTTCTATGTGAGTATCTTTACAGTATCACAACAGGGACTGAGAGCCTTTCTCAGAATGATTTTTAGTGTATAACAGGACTCCCTCTCTCTCTGTGATATATATATATATATATATATATATATATATATATATATATGGTTAATGGTATTAAAAAATTTTTTATATATCAAGAACAATTTGGGGGCGGATAGATGTATAAACTGGAGATATATATATATAAATTATAAATATATATATATATATATATATATGGGAGAATATGTCTCTAGCCACGTCTGATATATATATATATATATATATATATATATATATATATATATATATATATTTTCATCAGATGTGCCTGGGTACATATCCTAGACAATCTCTCATTCAGTTTCCCATATATATATATATATATATATATAATAAAAAGAGACAAGTAAAAACTGTTTTTATTCATTTTGTCTATTCTACATATACACTCCATCTGAGAATATTTACATATATCTTTCAATATTTTAGATTTTTAAAATTAAATAATTAAAAAAAAATTAAAATACTAATACTTGTGAATCACAAAAATTCCTTTTAGTGACGTGTTTCAATCCACGAAAGAACTTCTTCAGTTCAATAATGGCCTTATTGATTGAATCAGTCTTGTATACAAAAAAGAAAAATCACTTATCTAAAAACTTTTTTTTCAATTTTATAAATATATATATATATAATTATGGTGTTCTTTACTTACGGCTGTTATTGTGCAACACATGGTCAAAACTGGACGCTTATCTCAAATCTGTTTATTCTATTGAAAGCAAAAATTTTTAGCTTGTGTTTGTAGTAATTCATTGCTGTAGTTTGCTTAAATATTTACTTTTTACACTTCAAATAACTGACCTTAAAATTACTATAGACGTTTGGCAAACTCATTGGTCATGTCATGCCAACTTCCTTGGGGACATGCTGAATCTTACTAAATCTTACTTAGTTTAATTTGAGTTCAAACTCTTCCAAGTCCCTCTTTATAAGCCTTTTATGGGTTTAAATGAATATTTTTAAACCAGACATTTTTTTTCTATCAGACTCCATTATGATTTAAAAATCTCATATTTTTCTCCTAATATCTGTACTCCTTAACTTAGTTATCAAGTCTTTCAATACCACAAGTCACTAAGAAATTTCCATGTATTAGTATGACTCAACCAGAGTCACTTGCCCTAAATATCACAGGATAACTTGAATTCATATAAAAGTCAATTTTGTATTTTTTTATTGCACAGATGTTTGTATTTTTTGCTCAATGATTGAAATCACAGCACAATTTATTTACATTGTTTTTTTTATCTGATCTCATATTACAAATAGAAACAAATTTTCAAAAATAGAATTTTAATTATCATATTTGGAAAGCATGAATTTGAAGCAACTCTGCTTATTTGCTGAACAACTCATGATAATTTAATCACCTCTATGTAATTAAGAAAATATTTCAACAGTAAACTGTTTAATAAATCCATTTGCTCTTGACATCAGTTTAAACTGACTTCTGTTTTTTTTTTCATATATTTAAACTACAAATTATGATTTTGAAAAGTTAAAATTTTGCTGAAATATATTGGAAAATTATTAACTTTAATCAAAATGGTCACACTATATTGAGGAAAAAACGCATCATTTTAAGCTAATGCCAGGATGATACGGGCCGAGACATGGATGGCTTGCTGTGAAGTAAATTTTCAATATTTTAAGCTCTTAGATATTAAAATGCAATAATTAGTTTCTTTTTTATTTTAATAAATTTTTGCCTTAAAAAAGACATTGATTTTTAATGAGTTTTTAAAATCACGTTTAACATATGAGGTGAGATAAAAAAAAATGGGGGTATTTTTTTTTTAATACTGTCTTCGGTAATTCCTTATTAAAGATATTGTTAATGCTTCCAATTTATTAAATTTCTGATTGTTATCTTTCTGAATAAAGAAATTCTACACAGGTCTCAGAAAAGAATTTTCTCTTAGAAAAAAATAATTGTGTATTTGCTTACTTGCAAAATCTTATGATACGCCCATGATGACAATGACAATTTAACAAAACTCAATTTCGAATTTTACATTATTGGATCTTCTGATTATAAAAATTATTAAAATTTAAAATTGTTCTGGCAAACATGGATAAACATGCCCACAATAAGATGGATTGTCAAAAGGATGGTTTTCTCTTGATACTACTAGTATTTTAACTACTTTTGGAAATGTTTATTGTTTTAAAAAGCAATAATTAGAATTAAAATAAAACCTAAATATATGAAAGTGAATTTATATATTTTTTGTTCTTGAGAATTTACAACAAAAATATTAAACACTATTAGATTGCTTATTTACAAGAATAATTTTATATTTACAACATTCTAAAAATTAATACAAATGTAATGCAATATTTATCATTTAACAATTTATATAAAATAAATACAAAAAATTTTTATTCAGAAAAATTTACTATGTGAGCCACCTATAAGAAAATCCTTATTATTTACCATTTTCTAAAGTTTGAATCGATTGATAATTAGCAAATGGTTTTTTAGTAACCATTCAAATAAATAATATAAGTGCATAGTGTAAATAAACAATCTAATAGTGTTTATTATTTTTGTCGTAAATTTTCAAGAACAAAGAAAATGTATAAATTCACATTCATACATTTAGGTTTTTATTACAATTCTAATAATCACTTTTTAAAATAATAAACATTACTGAAGAGTGAAG